GCTCTCGGGCCCCAGGCTGCAAAGGCCAAAAAGAAGAAGCAGAAGATGTCGCTGGCAGAGGCTTCGAATTGATTTGGTGAAGGTTCACCCTAGAATTTGTCCGACACGACTGGGGGCGACAGTGACACCGCTGCGATTCTTCCTGCAAGATAGTGGGCAGGAAGTGTGTCACAGCTTGATGCCGCGATCGCAATGATTGCTTGCACTGTCGTGTCCGATGGCTTTGTCGAGCTTTGCTAGGCTCTTGACCGCCAGAAGAAGGAAGAGAAGGCCATCGTTGTTCGTCCACTTGTGGTGCGCGTTGTGATGCCGATGCACTCAGGGGTCTTTGTGAGAAGCAACACAACAACTCGCCTCTAGACTTTCTCAGAGTCAAATACCACATGAACGTTTAGGCCCTGCGATACACTGTGAGAGCCACAGAACACCCTAGCGCAGAAGCCTAGAAGATTCCAGGTTGAAAGACCAGAGCATCATTAACCCCAGACTCGGGCCCCATAACCCTAAAATGGGAGTTTCCGAAGATAGGGGACCCCAAAAAAGCACCCTAATTAGTAGGATCCTTATTATAAGGACCCCAACATAAGGTACCCCTAGTTTTCGGAAACTCCCAAATGGCGCCCTGTCCGACGAGATGGACAAGAGCAAGAAGGAGGAGGCGAAGCTGGAGGCGGAGGAGACCTTCTGGGAGGGTCCACCCTCCTCCACCGAGGCGCCCCCAGGGGGTGTTCTTGGGGTCTAGGGTTTAGGGATTAGGGTTTAGGGATTAGGGTTTAGGATTTAGGGTTTCGGGTTTAGGGATTCTGGTTCGTTTCAGGGTTCGCAGCGCTTGGGCCGTAATGTTAGGATCGGTCCCGCAGGCACCTCGTGAGGGTGATGGTGGTGGTGATGATGATGATGATGGCGATGGCGATGATGATGGTGGCGGTGGTGGTGGCGATGGCGTGATGAGCATAATGACAATACGGTATTGATGCTGATGGTCATGCTGCTCGGCGGGACCCCTCGAGCGGCTATTACAAACAACGCGAAGGGAAGGACTGATGGCAAATGCCAGACACACCAGCAAAGGCCCTATATGAGGAGACTCAACTGGGAAGGTATCACAAATCGAGGTAAGGCAGCATCATAGTGCCGTGTCCCTGCGTGGTGAGAACATCCCTGTGCTCCTCTGCTGCTGAAGATGCTACAGAGATGTTGATCCGAAAGCCCAAGCCCGACATCCGGAAACTGGAAAGCCTTAACCTTGACAAAAAGCGGAGAGCTACAAAAGCAAATCTGGTCCTGTGTCTCCATCCTCCGGCTCTGGCTCTAGGGACAAGAAGGTGTTGTTTCGAAGCAATTTCATTAACAACCCTGAAGCCTGAAACCTTAAGCCCGAACGACTTCTGCGTCTCGCTCAGATGTTTGCGCCCTTCCTGTCCTGCTTTGTGGTGATCGGGTCGGTTCCTCAGCAAGCCGGCGAAGGACGCAGTAGAGCCTTGGGGTCTCCAGTGCGCAGAGCCCCAGGCTAGTTTCACCCGTGCCTCGCGACAACTGAAGACCAAGGATCATTCCCTTCATTGCTGCCGTGAATCGTCAGTTCAGGGTAAAGTGCGCAGCGGCCCTGGGGTGCAAGGTTTAGTGAGTATAGTGCTGAAATAAGTCTAGCAGTCTGGGAGATACATGCCTTCGATTTATGGACTGCCCCGTTGGCTCCAACCTGCTTTCGCCAGGTACAAGGTCACCAACAAGCGAGTTTCGGTCACAGGTGGTGAGTTGCTCAAGGTTACACTTTGCATCAACTCAAGTGAGTGTTTGTTCGCTCAGGTCTTGATGGGAAAGACATCACTGAGTTCTCCTACCAGGCTTCCCACATGGCATCTTCTGGGGTGCTGTTCCGCTTGAGTTCGATAACTGCCGGAGTGGTCGTTGCCCCGCCAGGAAATCTACGAGATGAAGTACGGCCTGAGGTTTCTGGGCTATTGCGCCGATGTGAGGCCAGTAGCACTCGGGTGTTGACTCCGGCCCAGTGACACGTCGAGCAGAGACATTCATACAGCCATGCTTAAGTCGCCCATCGTCGCCCTAGGCCAAGCCCTGTGCCCGAAAAAGCCCTCAAGCTCAACTGACCTTCAGGATCAACCTTCGAGACGGCGCCAAAGTCGAGCTTTTCGGGCTGCTAAACTTCGAGGAGATGAGGGTTTCTTCGGGCTTGGACTGGAAGTCAAAAGGCATGTTCTATCAGGTGCTGTAGCAAGTTACGGCTGCTTTTGTTGTGACATTCATCAGCCAGCTGTCGACCTAGAATTCCTCCTTGCAAAAGAGTCCGTCGCTTCTCGCATGACAGGAGAACTACAACTACATGCTCTCCAAGCACTTGGCTTACTTCTGCATCGGGGCCAAAGCCATGGATGGTGTTTTACAACTAAAGGCTCCAGGTCGCTTTTGGTTGGATCCTCCTGATGGTTTGTGTTTGCTGAAGCTCGTTTTTGGGGCTTGGGATCGGAGGGTTTGCTGAGAACCTCTGCAGGTGTGACAAGGATGCCCGGCGGCGAAGTGACCCGCCCCTTTCCTTGAACGCGTGAGGGTTGAACGCCCGAGACCTGGGTTTTTCGAGGAATGTCGATCGTTGTTACTGCAAATGGTGCTTTCTGTTGTTGTTCCGGTGATAAAGCAGCACGGTACTCATGGAGGTGAAGAGATGCATTGGCCAACATCTTGATGTAGCTATTGCTGCTGCTGCAGCTGTTGTCAACATGGCTGAATCCGTGCACGCTAGATGTTGGGTGGTACCATCTTGACTCCTACTGTGATCATCCAGAGTTGTATGGTGGCTCCCTGCCACTAGGGCGCCGGTACGCTTCCAACATCGTGCTGTCTATGAAGGTTGCTCACCGGTCTCAGTCGACACACATTTGCCACAGATCGCATCCCCTCATTTATCGCCACGGGGCTATCATCCTTACGGCCATCCCTGTTCTGTAGTGCAGTCGTAGCTTGTTATCATAAGCAGCATTATGGTCATCGTTCCTGTTGGTTTTGCCCATGCCTAGTCGTGATAAGTTGTGGACATCTTTTGTTGGGTCTTTGAAGATCGACTATGCATCTGCTTCCTGGTTTGTTTCGGTACTATAGCTACGATGTCTGGTATTTCGAAGAAACGGTGGATTCCGGCCTGGCATGTCATGAACATGTGCTTGGGGGATTTATGCAGATGCTGATGGGACCCTTGTGGCCCTTGTGCCAAATTTTCGCCGTGGATTTGAAGATCTGTGTAAGGGCGTGTAGGGGGAGGAGTGAAGTTACCCCGTACAGCTGGATGGAAGTTGTTCATGGTTGTCACAAAGTACACGAGCGTCATCAACATGAAGTGCATAGATCTTCTGTCCATCCGAAGTGATACGCTTCGGAGTCCCTTAGCTATGCAGGCAGAAGATGATGTCGAGCTTCCCTTTGCTTTTGCATTCATCCTCTCCCGCGAGTCGTTTCTGCAATGGATTCGTCCCGTTTGTATAGTCACATATGCATTGAAGACGACTTCATCTTCGCAAGCAGTCTGCACAGGCTCACTCTTTGAGGGAAGTGGTCTGTGTAGCAACCTTGCTCTAATATGGAGCATGCAGAGTGCAGGCCTCAGAGGGGCATCAGAACGATTTCAGAGATCTCCGAGTGTTGACTGAGGACTGTCTTAGTACGCTGCAAAGCGACATTTGCAAGCAAAGCTTGGCTGTGTCCTCCCGGGAGACCAGGTCCTAATTACTCAACTCAGAGGAACGGCGCAGGCAAAGTCACCAACACATCTCGGGAGGCATGGATTTATGCACATATCTACTGTCGTGATTTTTCTAGAACAGTTTTCAGATGCCTTTCGACTCAAAAAGCCACTGTCAGTGCCGTGCGATCTGTAGAGGATTGAAGGTTGACGCGATGACATTGCCAATCCATGGTCACTCTTTACTTGTTTATTTGCTATCGATTTCTTATTGCATATTACCGCAAAAGCCGCTGCGATTTAGTAGCAGTTTGATACTAGTACTGATCGGCGCGAGCGAGTATTTAGATAAGAAGTATAATGATTTCATGACTCGATGCGCTGCCGCCACGAGCAGCAGCATCGCTTTGGAAACTCCATCCTCTCGACGGCGGCTGCCACCTATGCGCTCACTAGTGTCGTGGATCAAGTGTTCCTCCATATCGCCGCCCGCGGGAAACCGCGGCAAACGTTGCGCAGAACGTGTTGCTTCCTATGGCTCGACAAGCGGAGGGGAGACGCCTTTTCTAGGTCAGGACCGACACGATCTGCATAAGACGAGACCCACGTAGATGAATCCTTCAATCAAGGCGAGCCAGGCCACAGCTCCTGGTCGTCTGAACCTGTGTGTTATTTACTTTATTTAGGAACGGTGCTGCTTTTTGTAGTTTGTTTGGCTGGTTTGGCGGTGGCCTTTGGGCTGGGCCTGGGCATGTGTGAAGTCGGTTGCAAAATCACGGCCGTAGCAGATAGCGGGGTCGTCTTCCACGATTTGATGGTGAAGGCGGGAACAATTGAACGGTCGGAAGAGCCGGACAGGAAGCTCAACGATAAAGGTTTCTTGCTCCTGTCAGTTCTGTTGTACGGCATGCGTCGCCAAGTCTTGGGTCCGTTGGACTGGCCATGGCCCGTTTCCATGCGTTCTCTATGTAGCGCAGCCTTTTTTCTTGTGAGTAAGTGTTTCGCTGCCTCCAGGAGACTGACGCTTCACGGCGATGAGCAAGATACCATGGTTCTCGTAGAGGTGGCAAGCAGCTTCCACGAGATTGAGACTGTGGACTCCACTCTTGGACGTGATGCTGCTGAAACCGATCTCCTCAGAATGAGTGGGAGTGGATCATCTTACTGAGGGTTATTTCTGGATCTTTGTGCCAGACCCTATGTTCTCTACACTCTGGGCAAGATTGTGTTAAAATTAGGCATTGCCAACGGGCCAACGAAGACTTCCGAGTCAAAGACATAGCTCCAAGTCTTTCGAACCAGTATGTCCGTTCAAGCCAACAGCGCGGACGGACGATGAGCAGCATTCTGGACTTGGCTGTATGTTTGTGCTGTGATGGAATCTAGCAAGGTTTTATACATTGTGGGTGTGCATTCAGAGATATTCAGAGCCGTTTGTGTGCACCACACACTTTCGCTCCGTGCAACGAACGACGGCTGGAAGTTTCGCATGTTTGGTTTCCACATTTCCACTGGCACAGCGACGCCCGTTCCTTGTTCCCCTTGCGTGGTATTTAACTACTGGTTTTTAGCGGCCAGATAATGCAAACAGGCTTTCTTTCTTATGCAAGTGCAGTTTGCTAGGCGCAGCTGAGCGATTTCGTAGCTTGTTTCATGTTGTCTAGATGTCTTTTGTACAGTGTCTGCGTTGCTTGGACCTTTCACCGCGGACCGACTGACAGCAGTCGCACCTTCTTATCTGCTCCCTCACCATTGCTTTCTGCAGCAATGCATGCGCTGCCGCTTGTGCCCAGGCTTTTCCATGCATCCTGTTCTGCCTTGGACTTTAGAGCTAGGAAACAACAGTCATGGAGAGCTGATCGTTGCCTTACGGCACGAGAAAGACGACCGGAGAAGCTTTGTCTTGGGCTTTCCACCTTTCAGCTGGGCTCGGAGCGGCACCCACCGCTTCGTGCTGTTTCTCGCTACCCGTCGCGACCCCCTCCGGCGGACTGTGGCGTCCATTATGCTGGTCCCGCACGGCCCAGGGCGGAACGGAAACGAAGGAGTTGCTGCCGAAAGCATCGGTTAAGGAGTGGGCATGAGGAAAGATTACAGTTGACGTGTCCCAAGACCGCTCAACGCGATCCGGGCCAACCATGTGCTGAGGATTGAGCGTGACGAATTACAGGCATTTCATAGCTCGGGTGTGCTGGTTCAATTGGGCGCCGCAAGACACGATGGCTGTGCGATGCTGTGTGGAGACCAGTGGTAAGGCGACCTTGGGAACGGAATTCCATGTAGCTGCAACCAAGACTGCGACGTTGGCAGGTCGATAGCCCTTGATCTTGAGCTTTCAGCTAAAGAATTACTGTGGTCAGCCGCTTCCTGTGACAGCACGGCGCCGCCCCGACACCGTACCCGTTACTCGCTGTGCGCACGTGGGCGGGCTCTGGCGTTCCTTCTCACCCCACCGAGCTGATCGGAGAAAGTGCTTCGCTACAGCAAACTGCCAGTGTCTGCCCCGCGGCTCCCGTTCTGCAACACCGGAGCGGTTTGCCCGCACCCTGCAGGCCCCGCTTTCGGATAGTTCGTTTCGCCGCAAGCCCGCCCGCTCGACCGAACGACGCCCGACCCAGCTAGTGCTGAGGATGAAAGCCCGTTGCGTATCACCGGCAGACCATGGCAACTTCCTGTCCTGTTCCCGACCTGTCGCCGGCACCTCGTGCATTGCGCTGCCTGCGCACCGCGCAAAGTGATTTGCCTGAACCTGGGAGAAGGCGCCAGGGCTCGCAGCACCACGGTTCTCGCTCTTGCCCTGCCCTACTCGTTTCCGCGAGACCGAGTACCTAGACCTTGCAACCCGGCCTGTGGCCAGTCCATGCTGCGTTCGCACTCTGGGCCGCGCGCAGCCGCGTGGCTTAATGCCATCCCAAATGAGGCTGGCTTTGCCTCCCGACTGCATGCTGATAGCCTTGCGGCGGCGGCTGCGGGTGCCCTTTCCGGTCGTTCCACACAGATGTGGCGCACACGTGCGGATGGTATGGTACGGTTGCGGTTGCGGCGCCGCTGTGGACGCTTACGGTGACCACCACGCCTCGAACCGCACGACTCGCCCGCCGAGCCAAGTCTTTTGAGCATGCATGGGCGCGCAGCATTGCACATCGCGCGCGATATGTCGTCGGACCCGAGGGCCAGATAGGTCCCGCGGCATCCTGCAGCAGTGGTTGGCGCGCACGTCCGCCCAGCCGATCGCCGCCGCATTGACTTGGTCGTGTCCGGGGCTACATTGGTTGGTCAGGCGTCGTGTTGCGACGTCGCACTCGGGTCCCTTCTGATTCGCAAGGAAAGGCCACAGCTGTGTTGCCGTTTTGCCACGGCACCGCCATCCACGGGCGCTGCCTGCGCTTTAAGGCCGCATTGGCAAGCGGCGCCGTCCCTCTGGGGCCAGGTGGTGATGGACGTCGCGAGCGGTGGGCCTGCGCCGGCCATCCTCAAGGCACCGGCACCGGGGTGACCGACTGGTTGGCTGTTTCCCTGGCCCTCCGGCGCATACCAGATTCGGTGGGTTGTTTACTTTGACATCCGGGGCTAGATTTCAGCCCCGGGGGTTACGGAAAAAACTTGGCCAAAACAACCTCAAATGCCGGAGTGGGAACTGCAAGCAGCACGGGGTGCGCAGCAGGCAGACAGCCACAAGCTGGCCACAAGAGGTGCTGTCGTGCGAGAACCGCAGCGGTAGCACAAGGCAAGTCTATGTTTGCATTCTTGGAGCTTTGTTTTTGTCGCAGTGCAAAAGGCAGTCGCCAGCATGGCTCTGGGCAGCT